CACTGGTCTACATGCTGCCCCTCCTGACGGTGATCCCTAAAATACTCTGCACAAGAGGACCTTCAGTTCTTAAACGCTGCCAATATGTTCATCATTTGGGCAATATTCAAGAAGTGTTTGGACAACACCCTCAGGCACATGGTGTGACTCTTAGGGATGGTTCTGTGCAGGGCCAGGACTTGGACTCGATGATCCTTGTGGGTCCCTTCCAACTCTGCATATTCTGTGATTCTACGAATATTTATGCATTTCTGCTAGGACAACTTTCAGATGAAGATAGGCAGCAGCAAAAGATGCAGCCCCATCATTTCTCCTCCATTCCACAGTTACCCTTTAAAGTAGAAATAATCCAACACCACCACTTGGCAACTGAAACATGGTCTTCTAACTTTATCTCTCCTTCATATGCCTTTGTCCCGCTGTTCATCCATCACTCACAACATGTCAAATAACACAACTAATCTCTGTGCTTCCTAGAACAGTGTATCTGAAAGACACTCGACACACTTTCTTAGGTATAAGGATCTCGGCACACCACCTAAAGCACGTTGTTCAGCCTAACCAATCAAGGACACCAGTAAACACCAAAATACAGTCTTCCCAGGCATTTCACAGAAATAAAAAATATTCCACTGTAATGAATATCACTGAATTTCCTGTCCTCTATCATGTTGCTGTTTTGAAGACACTTTGCATCACTGCAGTGAACTGCTACTATTAAATTATTTGACCTTCAGTAACCTAGTAAAAAGGTACACTTCACTGATGTGAAAGCCACCAGCACAGCTTTTTGTGCTGCCAATATTATGGCAAAATAAACTACCTACATGGGTCAAGCCTGTGCTAACTGTGTTGCCTCCAAGTGAAATAAGTGTTTCCTATAGGGGTATGAGAAGAGGAAGGACATGGATTTTCAGAGCAAGAGCCAGGCAAAATGTCTTGTTCCCCTTCTCTCCTAACATTGGGTCGATGCACCAAAGACAACAGACAGGTGAGACACACTTCTGCACCCTGGGATCTACTTTAATGGTTAAAGGTTCATGGCAGTAACAGTAACTGAAAACAATTGAGATGACCTTTCCAAAAATGTCTTTGGTTCATAACAAATCAGATGATTAGTCCTGCCAGAGCCTTCACCATTCCCAAAATGAGAAATCTTTCAGACCACGTTGTATAGTTTTCTATAATTTATTTTGTACAGTTTTTTTAATCACTTTGCAAGTGATTTGAGGCTTCCAAGTTGCAGCCTCAAAAAGTAATTTTATCTTGTTTGTAATGAAAAACAAAATGTGAAGATCAAACTAATTTAATGTCTGTCAAAGGCTTAGGAGAAGTAAATACTTGGTGTCTCTGAGGAAAATAACATGATGCAAAGTCCAGATTTCACAGCAGAGCTGTTTCCTGTAACACTAACAAAGACTCTAAGTCCCACTACACAAGAAGGAAAGTGTGCAGACTCAGAAAGGCAACTTCCTCCACATAAATAAAAAAGAAATCCAAAAAATATTGAGATTCCAGGTGTGAGTGAGATGCACTGAAGTCAAATAAGCTTTAAAGGAGGCATCAGGTAAAACATAAACATATGGGTCATAAATCTATCAAATTCAAGCAAAAAAACCTCAAAGGCATTAAAAAGGAAAAAAAAAGGAAGTTATTATCTCTGAATTGATTAGGCTGTTCCCTTATCTGGTGTAATTCTGTAATGCTCTTGACATCAGCACTGAAAATGCTGCTTTTCTTGTTAAAGGAAGAAAAAACTCACACCTCCCTTTAGGCCGCATCAGACCCACAGCACAAATGTAACTGAAGGATACATTTGCTGGGTCCTTTCTCTTAGCAGAGATCAGCAAAAGAGGTCCTGTAAGCCACATTTGCTAATACCTGGATGACTACAAGCAATTACATGTGCTACAGGAAGCATCTCAGAATCAGGCCAGAAAACTGCTGGTCACAAGAAGGAAAGATCTCACTTCAGTGTTCAGCTTCAACACCAAAATCTGTTACTCTGTCCCATCTACACACAAACTAATGCACATCCATGGGAGCATTCATTTATCCCTTCTCTGTGTTTTCTGTTGCTGTTAAACCAAACATGTGCAATACAAGAATCTTCGCCTTGTGATATTGCAGAGCTACGCTTGCAGTGTGAGACAAAACAGCAGCAGCACCATAAAACAACACACTAACCTGAGTACTCAGACTTACTTTTCTTGTGTGTTATAGATAATTGCACTGTGGTAACAGTTCACTTCCATGCAGTCATGATTATCAGCACACCAGATAGTGGCACCCCAAACTCTTTACACAGATTATACAGGTGGCCACCGTCTACAGCTGCAATTTTAAAAACTAGCACAAGAAAGACAAAAATCCATGAAATTATTATTATGTGAATAAAATAATCCAGGAAAATATTATTATGTGGATAAAAGACTGTTTAAATAAAAGACCTGGTATGCTGAAGTACAACACACCTCTTTTTGGACATTATCCCAATCTAAACAAATTTATGAGAAGAAATATGTTCTAGTGGTAGATTTCTAATTCCCCTGGAGAAAGCCCAGATCATCTCCATTTAAGGTCAAGCAAGCAACAGCTGTGCATTCTTGTGCCTCAGAACAAAATACAGCAGACCAGAACCTCCAACACAGATTCCTTTCCTAAAGCTTTTGTTTTCTGATATCCATGAGCGTCTGGACCCGTTCCCCCAGGAGTCAATGAAAACAGTACAATGATGTGCTCATATATTGTGTCTGTACCTGTCAGACTGACATGTCCCATAAGCAGGACTTTGGCATCTACCTCAGAACCCCACGAAAATCCCCGTGAGTTACACAAGGGAATGATACTAAGCTGAACTAGAAAAATGTTCTCAAGAGAGAGTACCCAAACAAGCTTGTTTTCAGAGAAACAACATCAATACAAGATCTACAACATTCATGTGGGCTGAACCTGTGCATGTTATGGTTGTTTAAAAAAATACATTTTCTATTTTAAAATTTCTTACCAGGCAGACACATACAGAAGACACGTATTACATTTCTGATGAGATACTAGTGTTTCTATTAGTGCCTTAATTTGCACATTTAACTATCAGTCTTTAAAAATGAGGCCAAGCTGTGATTGTATCAGCAGCTCACAAAAGAACCCAACATTCTTTTAAGGTATCTCATTTCTAAAAAGCTCCAATTCATTAAGCAAAAGAGCCAAGAATGTGGGGTAGAGTAACTAAATAATATAACAATTTTGCAGTGAGTTGGTGAAAGGGAGGAAGTGGCATTGCAGCTGCTGCAGTGCTGGGTGCTGGACCTAAAGTACAGAGGTGAATTTCAATAGTACAATTTTCAATAGTACAAGTACAAAAAGCAAACAATCCAGTGATAGCACTTTTCTTGGATGACAGCACACAATGAAAACATGAAACCTCCCTCATAAAAAGGCCAAATACAGTCTTTTTATGTGAGAAATTTACAATGTTAATAATGCCAATATAAGTAAATATACTTATATGTAAATATGTAATTTACTGTAAGTAAATTATGAAACTCTTGCACTGGTAAAGAACTATCTCACTGTGGAGATATTCCATTAACTTTCAACTGAAATATGTGACCCTAGATTTCCTGTGTTTGATAATTAAGGACAGCAGAAAGCAGGCAGAATTATTATATTAAAGCCGAGTTGCTAACTTCAACTATTTTATAACCAATTTTGCAGACTACCTAAACCGTATTTACAAAAATAAAAACAGAGCTAAGTTTGAATCAGGGTGGTACATCACCTCCAAGGCGGTTCTGTCTCTGGTTTGAATGATGTATCACAGCAGGGCTCCCGGGGAACAAAAGAAAACAACTAAACAAAAAAAACCCACAATGTCTGGTTTCCTGCTTAAAGCCAAGCACTCGTCTGTGCTAAGCAATTATTGTCAAAACTGAATCTGCAAGTGTTCAGAGTTTGACTGAGCTTCTGCATTTTTGCCTGCGATTTCCAAATCAGGAAAAGGCACACGCTGTCAGCTGCATCCACACACAAAGCCTGATGCTGGATGCTCGCACATTAAACAGTTTAATCCTTTCACATCCAGCAAATCCTTCACTTCCCGGATGCACAAAACCTACTCTGTATATGACTGTGTTTGTCATTTCTCAACACAGGATAATATACATAAGAGAACCTGTAAAGTAGCATCAAGCTTCTACTCCTATCCAAACAAACTGAAAGGGTTCTCAAAAAAATCACTTGAATAGTTTCCAGTCACAAAAAGTGGGAGGGGAAGAAAAAGTGTGGGGATGTGTTTTAAAGGAAAGATAAATACTCAAATTATATAGTAATGGTAAATTTTGGAGATGAACTTTTATATGCCAGATTTTATAAGCCACAAATTAAAGGTTGGAAGAGACTTGAAATACAGGAAAATTACTTCAGTTCAAGCACTGTGAGAAGAAAGATGATAGTGGAAAAAACACATCATACACTGTAAACTGAATACCAGCTGTGTTACAAAACTATCAAAATTATATGTAATGAAAATGTAGTTTTAAAAATACCTTGTAGAAAAGAAAATCATTCCAAGTCAAATACCCACATGAAATGTGATAGCCCACACTATTTATGCTTTTTTATGACGAAGAAACATCGCTGTAGCAAAAGTAACACATTCAAAACACCTCCCTGAGCAAATTCCCATTTAAATTTTTGTTTAAGAAAAGGCAAAGTGTCAGCAAGCAGCTCCCTCTGCTACCCCACTGAAGCATACTGCTTCCCAGATTCCCTTATCCTGTGGTTGAGTAGGTGGTCTCCCTGGCACACAGTTCCCTTCACAAAAGGAGAGATGTTGCCCATGTTTAATACATTACTGCTGTGAACAAGTTTAGAGAAGCCACTGCCTGTGTCAGAGGCAAATGGGACCAATCAACTTTTGAGCTGCTGAATGACACTGAGTCCTGCCTCTGAAACTTTTGTTATTTTTTCCCCCTCGACTTACTTCAATTGTTTCCACGACTTAGTTACAGACTAGGACAAGTTGCCAGAGCTCTACAGGCACGTCCCACAGCCGGGAGCAAGCTCCTCTGTGCTTCACTAAAAGTAAGACCAGAGGTAAGGAACCTCTCTTCTGTGTAATGCTTTTAATTCTTGCAGCAAGGTGCTCTGTAGTAGTAGTTTTCTACAAAAACTCTTCTACTTAAATTAACAGCTGATTATCAAAAATATGGAAATGTAGGTATTACAGCTCTGAGTCAAAAATATAATGTTGTGAGGGGAATATTTCAGCAACAACAGAGGCAACAGAATTTTCTACATGCTTGTGGGACACTTGCTGTCTCTGGGTAGGCAGGTAGCATTGCCCTGGTGGCATTGCACCAGAAGGTGAGAAGGTTTCATCATGTTCTTCAGACCTTTGTCTTTCATTTTAGATTTAATACCTTTTTCTTGTTTTTTTTTTTTTTCTGTTGTTTGGTTGGTTTTTAATCCAAAATCCACAAAGAGAGTAATTCACTTAAAGTTTTGTAGAGACACTTGTTTCCCAAAGCTGCTTATTCACAGCCCACAAAGGTAAGAAGCCCTTTCACCATTTAACTCAGAAAAGCATTTTTCTGAGCTAACCCGCTGAGAGAGCAAACTTTTTTTTTTTTGCTGTATGACGAAAAATTGCCTGTAATTTAAAAATTTCAGTGGTTTATAGCTGTATTAGAACTGAATATATGTTACTGTAAGTGCAAGTCAAGCTACAGAAGCCATAGAGCGTTTTTGCTTTGAATTCCATTAAAAGTTAATTTTCTCCTGCTGTTCATTGTAACTGCCAAACTTGTCCTAGGTTGTTTCTAATAAGAGATAAATAATTTTGCTAGGATTTGTAATATCATGAACTGAATTTCAAATGAAGAAGGCAATCAATTTATTTCTAAGGGAAGCACATACACACTGTACAATGAAATACAACTCTAGCTTTAAAACCACTGAAAAAAAAAGTATCTCACACAGAAACATGTCACATAAAGAACATCTAATATTTGCATATACAAATATTTTAAAAAGAAATATGATTGATGAATATGTAGGTCTCTAAGGTATTTATGCTCCTTACAATCATGTTTCCTCCTTTCATCAGTTCACACCTTACTACTTATGGTTGTGATTTTAGAAAAGACAAACATAGCATAGACCTTAATTTTGTGAGGTATGTCTTCTCTGTTATTGAACAGACACCCAATTCCTTTTCCTATTAGTGACTGGCAGGCATCAGGCAAAGACACATCCAGGTTCTTGGTTTTGTGCTCAGCAGCCTCATGCCAGTTTTGAATAGACAAGTGATGGATGTGTCCAGATATCCTGTTACTCCCAAAGCAAACTCCGTTATGGAGTTACCTAGAAGCTTCTTTCTTTCCAGTAGGCAGAAGCAGCACTTCAGACCTCCCAGTGTCTTCAAAACAATGCCTACCAAGGAGCAAGAAGATTCTAAGACAAACAGATATCTTTCAAGGCTGAAGCTACATAAAATGTGTTTTCAAGTGAAAAGAGGAGCTAAGGTTTATTCTACCACACAGAGAATCTTTCTCTCCCACCCCAAATACTGCATACATATACCTTTAAAAATACAGACTTCATGCACACACACACAGATTGAACATACATATAGAAACTTGACTGCCGTAGGCAGCTCTTTGATGGAATCTGGAATGCATCCTGTAGCTACAGCAGGTTAGCTGCCCGATCATCTGAATTTTAACCTGGCACAGAGTTTGGTAATTTAAAGCAGATGAAAGAGTGGCTCAGCTGTTAAGTTAAATTTAAAAATTTCACACTGATAACGTCCCATGTCACAGACATCTAAACCCTGATTAACAACAATCTACAGTCATGACAGAAGCATGTGCTACATAGCAGGTGATAAGTGTTACAAATCAGATGCGAATTAAGGCATTTAATTTACAGCAAACAATTTTTTTTTTGCTACTCATTTGTCAAGACAGCTACATTATTATTATTTGTATTTAAGACAGACTCAGATTTATGTATACACCACATTTCTATTTTTAAAGTTGCATTTATTTCTCATCCCCTGAGGAGTTTAGCAATATAGTGTCTTCATTGTTCAGTGTGAAACTCACTGAAATCAGTTTGTAACTGAGAGTATAAAGGTGATTTTCACTGATATTTTTTCAGACCATCAGCAAACAAAAATGTATGGGATATGTCTAGACAGCTACAAGAGCAGTTTTTTATTTGCTTTAATAATAATTTGATTTAGGAATAGAAAAGTACCCCAACTGGAGAAACAAAAAAATCCCACGGGGAAGCAACATTATGTTCCCTAAACTACAAGACATTTGAGAACTGGAAGACTGCTTTTGCTTTCTGGATCTTGATAAATGGGTTAAGAGGACTTTCCTGGCATCAAGTTACTTCTCAGAAGTTGAATTCACCTACTATATCCTTCTCAATCAATGCCATGTCGTTGTTCCCTGAGCCCCTAGAAGGTTAACAACAAAACCTGGAACATTCTTTTACACTTCTACTTTTTATACATGCTAGATATATTTCAATTTTTTAATTCAAATTGCACTTAGCCCAATTCCTATACAACCTTTGAACCACCAGAACCTAAAACTCAACATGAAATAACTTGTTAGGTACACAGTGAACACAGTGGAGGAAAGAGTTTATTTCCTAAAAGAAAGTTACTATGTAAAAGGCAAATCATACCAACAGTCTGGAAATGGTAAAACGTTATTTTACGTCTTATTTTGATGAGGGGAGATGATGAGTATGGAGAATGAAGCACCTGCTCAAGATTCTCCCGTACGGTCCTGCAGCACTTGCAGGAAATTTACCCTCCCTAAAAACTAGCCCAAAGCTTTGGCTCCCAGGCTACTCTAATGGACCAGCACACATACAACTTCCAAGGCACATGAATAACTTCCCAAAACCAAAATGCCTGGTGTTTTCAACTATTCATCAGTCTAATTGCTTTGCATCTACATCTTTCACATTCTGATGTGCTTGAAACACGGGTAAAGGCTCTTACTGTTGGTCTTGCTTCTTAGAACACCAAGAATACTAAAGCTAGTCAAGAGCAATAAATTAATAAGAGGGGGAACAAAAAAAAGATACTCAAGTGCGAGCCTTCCCCTACCCTCTCCCAAACACATGAAAAATACCGACACTTCAGCACAAAACAGACTTTAAAACAAAAGGTAGAAAGAAGGATAAAATGAGTTTCCTTTTCCTGTTACCAGCACTTCTCAAACTATGAGATGAATTGTTGCTTCTTTCCCCATCATAAGGAAATGTTTTCTCCATGTCATTGAAAAATGACATTATATGCCACAAGTCAGTGTCTAGATCTTCAATCAACATACCTTGATAGTACTTTTTGCATCACTGTTTATGGTTATTAAGACATTTCTTTTCAATGGACGGCAGTGAACTCCTGGGGTTTTGGGACATTTCACTGTTAAAGTCTATGCAATAGACTTATGCAACATTACTTTTTAACAATACCCCTTCAGGGCTTCACTTATTCACGTGGAACTGCAAGAATTCAAAAAAGTCAAATCTCTTCTATTCCACTGATATCACTGCTGCATTTAGTAAACGTATGACAGGAAACAGGCTGCGTCCAAAATTGCTGTGGCATTTCCAAAGGAGCCAAATTTAATCTGTGTGACTTCAAAGGAGTCAACGCAGTTGCACCAGGAATGAGAGTGGCCCACAGTTTTCACTTTGGTCACATACCCCCCTCTTATTGTGAAGGACACCCAGGAACAAAGATAAAAATAACCTAATACAAATCAGGGAAACAGTCACATGTCAGTGAAGAAGGAAACAGTAATTGTGATTGGTGATTCATTCTAGGGCATTGGGTACAGGGGATTCACTACATAGTAACACACAGGATCAGCCATAAGACTGACCCTGCAGATCCGCACTGTGCTTAAGACAAGCCTTTATTATCCATTAACAGCACTGATAAAACATATAGCTGCACAGCAATGCAGTCAACAGTTCCTCTTGTACACTTTTAGACTTAAAAAACATATAAACTACAGTATGCCCTTTTGCTGCACTTCTGTTTCAACAAGTGGTGTGTGCATGCACAACTCTCCTTTCTACTGGCCTAAAATAAGGGGACTGAACAGCAGAGAGCAGCTACTATTTGTGGCAACAATCAGCCTTCCTTTCTATGTAATTATGTTCCAGGCTGTCCATTTTGACCTTGATAGTCACCCATGGGCATAGGCAGCTGTATTACTGAATCTGTTTCTCTTTATGCACACTTTAGGTGGGTGACAGCGCCATGGAGGATTAACAAGCAAGGTATGTGTTTATTAGCTGAAGTCAAGAACTTGTAAAGACAAACTTGTTGAAATACAGGCCCAGAATTGGCTTCCTTTGCTTACAAGAAAACTTCTCCCACAGGCAGGCTTATTAGGTAAAAAAACACGTAGATGTTGTAAAAACTTCCAAAACCTTGTAAGCTTTTAAATCAAGAAACCCAAGTTACTCTATTTTGTCCTTTCCTCATCCCTTCTCTACAACATTTTCTTGCTGTTAAAGGTATACATTTTAACTTATGCTACCTTCCATTTTTTAAGATCCTTTTCTGTCACCTGTCTTGTCACATATGGCCAAATATCTAGTGCCAACTCAGCTCGACTGAGCCTTCTGACCTATTGCCAGTTCCCTCAGCAACATTCCCCAAGAAAAAGAAATAATATTTTTTTTCCCCTCCCAGAGCAATCTCACCCTCTCTTGCCCTCTTTTGGCCTTGCATCTGTGATGCCCAACCAGCTAATAATGCTTTTTATGGAAGCATTCAAAGCCCCAAGTCCTCGCCCCTTGAGTCATGCAAGTGAAACATTTGCAGCAGCACAGTAGTGCAGGTGCCAGCACGTGCACAGTTCAATCTAATGCTGGACTCATGAAATGGACTTATTATGCATTTACACAGGTAAACATTGATGCTGCTCCAATCCTCACGTGGGTCCCAAAAAAACAGTAGTCAGGAAAAAGAAATGTTGCTGTAGCAGAACACAGAGCCCAAGGACCAAGGGTTGCACACACACTGCATTAAAAAAAAGAAACTGTGATGAAGTCATCCACAGGAAATACTGTTCCCTGTACAGTGTCTGTCACACAAGCTCACCACACAAACTCTTCTCTACCAGCGTTAATCCATTAGTGGTTCATCTACTGTGACTTGTCTGGAAGAAGATAAACAGCCTAATGCACTCCAGCCTGTATGGGGATGGGAGAATGAATGCACATTCAGCCAAGAGACTTGATAATTCCTGTAGCATGTCTTGCTTTTACTGCACTAGTGACTGACAGTGACTTGCATAGAGCTAAGCAGAACATATTTGGCAAGCACTTTAACTGCTTAAATAGATGAAAACAGGTACAGCAAAAAGTCAAACAAAGATGAAAAATTATAGTCACCACGAGAGCAAGTTCCTGGTGCGTGTTTTGTTTGCAATAAAGATCAACTATAGCTTAAAACATCATAACAAAATCTGAAGTTGAGTTTTAGAAGAAGATGTCATCACATGGAATCCTCTAGAGGTATCAAAATAACCATGTGCAATTTGATTTCTTTTGAAGGTCTTTTAAATACCAACACTGCCACTGGCACTGAAAGCACATGTATTCTGCTCATATAGAATCATTTGACTCTACAGCCCAACATGGAGGGACTAACAAAGAAAAGCCTGCAAGACAGTTCTGTCTCCTTTTAAGCTTTTTCCATTTAGCCACATATAGAGGCAAATTCATGGGTGACAAAGAATCTCTGATTCAGTCAGGACCATCAAGTAATTTAGGAAACAGACATCTAAGCAATGGTTTTTCTTTATGTGGTATACATGATACGAATTTCACTTATCGCCAAGAAAAAAAAAAGGTGACAAGGAGAGGCCTTCTGTGAAAGATTCGATCACAATATCAATTCATAAAATGTTTAGGGGTAAGTGTAGCTTTGGGAACAAAGTCTGACAGATGCATATATCATTATTATCTTGAAAACAAAGTTTTCATATTGTGACAGCACCTGCAGAATCCACCTCACCCTGACCTAAGCAAGCATATATCAAAGCCAGCTTCTTGCCACAGAAGGTTCATGCAGGAGGGATTTACACTGCAACTACTTATTTGGAGTTTTAAGACAACTGACACCCTGTGCTTCCATCTGCAATTCAAAGGGGGAGGGAAATATACTTTAAATATAACACTCATTTAAGAGATGAAGTTGTATACATGCTTTATTTTTTTCCTCATAGCATTTCTACACCTTTGCAGCCACATTTTGTAACACACTGTCCTACATGCATTAAAAAGATTTAGTCTTTATTCTGTCCTGTCTGTTGAGAAATATACTACTAAAATTCCCTACAGCAGTGATTTGTTAGCTTTAATTGCCCCCCATAAAAAACTTGTAGTTGGAATGGAAACACTTCAATAGGATTGTTTTTTCTCCTCCCTTCTAGAAAAAGGAAAAAGGTTCTGCTAAATCAGATTATCTGCCCCTGTCAGTAACAGCCAGCACTACTATCCAGATCTCCTGGCTGCAAGGTCTGTGACCCTAGTCTTATCATCATGCTTTCACATGTGCTTGAACAAATAAAGCAGAGAGACGTGGGTGGGAGGGCAATGAGCCACAGCCTTTTCAGATTGTGAAAGATGAGAGTTTAGGATCTAAAGCAATAATCTGGGCAAAACCCACATACTCACAATTTCCATATTACAGTTCTTCACCACTGCTAAGAAGCAGATGCTTAGTAGCCTTCAGGAGGAGAAATACAGTACAGCACAAATCTAAACTTGAAAAACAAATTTTCAAAATCCTGTTTTAAACTAAAAACACTGTAAAAGCAATCTATTTATTTCAGACTTTTTAGAACTTTTAAAAAAATCTCCATTTGCACTCTTCAAAACACTTCTGTATTTCTAATTCTTCGCTTTCCTGCTTTTCCAGCTCCACAAAGGCTGTCTAAAAAAAAAGAGAAGATATTAGGCACTTTGCACTGTTCCTGACAACTGCTCTTCTTTCCTGCACTCCTAAAACCTCTGATTTGTGCTCTCTGCTTTCTTGTTGCCATGGAGAAGGTCCAACACATAACCCGCTCTGCTCTAAGGAGAGCCTCAACTATTGAGGTCAACCCACAAGCACGCCAAAGGCTCCAAGAGCTCTTTGTGAATTTCTGCCTGATTTTAATTTGCCTCTTGCTGATCTGTATCATTGTGATGCTTCTCTGAAGTTCCAGCACTCCTCTGCACTGTCCTCTAGAAAAATCACCCCAGGGGGAAGAGAGACGTACACCTGCAACTCCCAGCGCAAGGATCCTCATGTGACAGGGGCCAGCACTCGGACTAGAGTGTGTGCCAGCCAGTGCCCTGTTACCTTACTACCTGCTACATGTATTAAAAACACGTCTTCTGTGCAGAACAGTGTTTAGAGCCTGTAGTTACAAAGCTGTGCATGACCCAGTTTGTCGGTCTCAATCAAGAGATATCTTTAAATGGGGTAAAGTACTGGTAAATCAGATTATCTGCCCCCAACAGTAACAGCCATCAGTTGGTAAGTTCCTCAATCTTTTAGTCAGATAAACAGCAACTTCACTTTTTGGGGGCCTGAGTGTTTTTAGGTTTCTCTGAAAATCCTTATGCCCTTAGAGGGGTTCCAAATTTGGACCACATCTGCCCAAAGAAGAGCTTACAGGTACACAGCCATCAACACATCTTAAGAAAATTTCTGCTCTGTTTAATTCAAGGTGCTGCATCTCTGCATTATCAACTGAAGGCATTTAAATTGCTTTAGTGGTTTTTAAGGGAACGTGGGAATAAACAAAAAATCTCTTCTAACCCAGAAATGAAAACTATTTCATATGCTTTTCTCCCTATCTAAAGGATCTTGTATATGTGTCATCTGCAAAGGTTTTTCATAATGTTTTGTAGAAAAAAAATTGACACTACCACACTGACATAAAAAATTTTTTTCTATAGTCATTCAACTGACATGACAACTGGCATAACTTGGAAATAATTCTCAGAGTACTTAATATTTGACTTCAGACAACTTAATTATGTCCTGCTCTAATTTATGTAATAATTTCCTTAGTTTAAAACTACAAAAAACTTGGAACTTGCCAGTGTCACAGAAGGTGGCTTATATCTGATATGGTAAAGAGAAAAGTCTAGGTCACTATTATTGCTATGACTAAAGTGTATCAGACAAATACAAGTAACACCCCCACCTTCAGCTGCAAATACCTGCTAGAGAACATGCAAGTATTTTCCTGAAACAAATGACAGATTAAAAAAATAAATTATAAGCGATTATGCACAGAAGGGAAAAGCATTGCAGAAATATCTTTTCAACACGTAAACCAGAGGTTATACACGTAAAAGATGACATTTCTACTCCAGCAGTTGTGAGTAACAAGACTGAGCAGAAGACTTCCAATCCTACTACATGTTTCTGGTATTAATCGAAGTTCCTAGAAATTTGATAGTTTTTAAATTTAAAGAAAGCTCAAGAATCAACACAGAGGTCAAATAGACATCCATTTTTTGAAGAGTAATCTTTCTGTACCACTCTGTGTAAGCAGTCCTACTGATGAATACAGAAAATCAAAAACAAGTTATCTTCATCTTGTATTCTGCCTTTAAGACTTAATATTTCATGAGTAGAGGTTGACAATGAACAGCTGAGCAGGAAGGGAAGAAATCTTTGAAAAAGCTTGGTATTTAATGGAATGCAAGCAAATCCAGTGGTGATGCACTTCCTATCTGGCAAATAGATATGCTAAGACCAGGCCTCTAAAATAGGGTTAATTACCAGACTAAATTAAGATAGCCACTGTATGAGGACTAGAGCAAGCACTGGTGAGGCTGGCTACACACCCCCACTTGCAAGTTAGTATATGAGCATTGCTGATTTGAACCATCAGCGTAAATCTCAATTTCCATTTCATGCATTCTCACCACTTTCACAAACACATGAGATTTTTGGTAAGCGTATTTTCCCTTTTAATCCTTCTTCCCTTTCTTCTCTTTACAAACTTGTATTTTGGTCATGGATAGGGTTTCTAGCTTTAGTTTGCTTTGGATGTGCTTCAAGAGACTTCAATTGGAAATAGACAAGTTTTACAGTACTGAAAACTTGCTGAAGAAAAGTGTTAAGAGTAAAGCATCAGCACATACATCCTGAAGACATGTTTGGATTATAGGTTTAACAAGCCAATAATATATAGGAGTCAAATTAAAGCATTGCTAAAAAAGTACCCCCCCCCAATAAAAACAAAGCCTCCAACTTCCACTTATGTACCTAAAAGCCATCATTTATTTAAAAGCAATAAACAAACAAGAACAAAACAAAATTATAAATGAACTGAAAGCCCTACTGTTATTTTACATCAATGCAGATAAATTGCATGTACTGTTTGGTTCATTTATGTCTTAGGATTCTGATGATCACAAAATCTGCTACCATCCTCTGCATCACCAAATGTCAACTGAACCCACAGATTAAAAAACAACCAACCTTTTGTATATAGTACAAACTTCTTCATAGACTTTTATGAGCTTTAAAAATAACATCTACTGTATTTTAATTATTAAAATGACTGCTTGAAAATATATTAATGCATAAAATACATCCAATTCTGTTTAGAGATCTATCATTTACTTATTAAACTTATGTGAAAAAGAGCTAGTCATTGCACAGCTTTTTAGTTCTCTATATATTTATTCTGCTTTGGTTTTTAAGAGTAATCTTGTCTGTTTTGTGATGCCCAAATCACTTACATGTACCTAATTCACACTCAGTAGCTACTGCTCGTAAGTAATCCTAATGAATTTTATCAAAGTGTAATCAAAAAGTTCCCTACTTTTATGAGCTGTAATAAAAATTGCAAACACAGCACATAGCTTGGATTAAGTTTTCAGTTCTCTGCTCCACTCCACCCAAGCCTAAATCTTTTTCCTAAGTTCATCTTACACACTGATAATGAATAAAAACAGCTGAACAGACAACAAGCTGGCATTACTATTCCTCTAAAACAATAAATTACAAACTTTCATGGCAATTTTATACTGGGAAGGAGCTGAATCAGGAACAAAAGTATGCTGGTTTTAAAGATGTGTTTCCTCAGTCAGCTCCTCAGCAAAAATTGATATAACTACTCATTATCCTCTACATGAAAACATGACCCATTTAAAACCTGAAATTTTGCTCTGATCAAGACTAGTCAGTAAGGCACTTCAGAAGGCAGGAGATAGTCGTGTTTCTTTATTAACTGTTCTGCATCGATTTAGCTACAACTGCCCTTCCTAGCAGAACTGCACCACTCAGTGGAAAGACAAGTGTAAAACAGACTTAAACAACATTTTTCACACAACGGGGCCAAAATGTTTGCCACCCCTCAGCATAAAGAATTTTTATGTAAGTTTTGCTACAATTACACCACTGGTCAATGGTGCAACTAGGCCAGGGGTATCCTGGGGTGCATTAGGAAGAGCACTGCCAGCAGGTCGAGGTAGGCGATCCTGCCCCTCTACCCAGCCCTAATGAGGTTACATCTGGAGTGCTGTGTCCAGTTCTGGGCTCCTCATGGAGCTCCAGACATGGGGCTCCTGGAGCAGGTCCAGCAGAGGGCAACAGAGATGATTAGGGAACTGGAGCATTTCCCTTATGAGGAAAGGCTGAGGGAGTTGGGCCTGTTCAGTCTCAAGAAGAGATGCCTGAGAGGGGACCTCATCAATGTACATCTGAAAGGAGGGTGTCAAGAGGAAGGATCCAGGTTCTTCATGGTGGTGCCAAGCAATAGGACAAAAGGCAATGGGCAGAAACTGATGCACAGGAAGTTCCACCTGAATATGAGGAAGAACCTCTTTACTGTGTACTGGAACAGAAGCCCAGACAGGTTGTGGAGTCTCCCTCACTGGACATATTCAAGAACCATCTGGATGAAAGCCTGTGCCATGTGCTCTAGAATGACCCTGTTTTGCCAGGGAGATTGGACCAGATGATCCACTGTGGTCCCTTCTGACTTTATCCATTCTATGATACATACAGAACAATAATCATGCCTGATGTACACACTTCTGCTGAAACATACTTTACCTACATCGTCCCTGCTAAAATTAGAGCAGAGTAATTGAACACATTCATTTAGAGAGTGTTCTTGTTTATATCTGGAAGCATATTAATATACTATAGATTACAGGCCAGATACCTGTAATTGTATGGCTACTAATAAATACTGCCTGGTAGAATACAATTGCAAAATATTTGTGAAATCCTATAAGATCCATAAATATCTTCTATTTAAAAACAAATTTAGTCCTTTTTAGTACTTTTAGCTTTGACCTCCATAATAAAAACTGGAAAAAAACCTCAGAACATATTTATAAGAATTCCTTTAAAAACTGATGCTCATCTGAGTAAGAACCCTGGTAATTTAAATCATTTAAAACAGGCCCTAGATTTACTGTAATATCTGACTGATTGCTTTATAAGCTTGTTATATTTTTTTAAGGTAAAAGAACACCAGAAGTTACATCTTTGTATAAAATATAAAATTATAAAACACTGCCCTCTTGTGATGATCCGTAAAAACGTAGCTGATTACTAAAATGAAGTTTTGGCAACTGTTTTCACTGTTAGGGCATAGTGGTTTTATATGTTCCTTTCATTTATGTATACATATTTCTATATATAAAACACAATTGTTAAATTATTAATGCTCCCTTAAAATAAGCTATTGCGTATGTCCTATTAAAAGCACTAAGGACACATCCTCTGCCAGCCCAATCTACATTCTTAATAAGGCATTTGCAAAGCTGCAATGACTCTTACACAGCACACTGCTGGCAAAATGCAACCTGCTGCACTGCACAACGTCAAACTCTAGAAGGGTAAGGATATACTCCTGTTAACAGAAACACATTTTGCCCAGACAAGAAAGCTTTCCTTTTTTTGCACTCACAGAGATCTTTTAGACGTAAATTTTCAACAGTCTACTGTTGAAACAGAGTAAGTCTTGAGAACAGTCATTCTTTTGAAAATTAAAAAGGCCTGAAAAGTACCACACATATTTTAAAAAAAAGCAATAAAGAGCCAAACTGTAATAAAATTCAAGTTCTTTCTCCAATAATTAGTTCTTTAGAAGTTCTTATTAGTAAAATGAAGGCTAACATTAACTTTTTTTTTTATTATTTTATTTTTAAGGTACTGGGGAAAAAAAGCCTGTAGCAGTATCTAGATCCTTTTCTGGAAAAAGAAAACAACACAACTCTACTTACTGTAAACAAACATTTTTTTCTTCAGTGGCAGAAACTAAAACCAGATAAACAGCTGTGGATACAATGAAATTTTTGTGAAATCTACCTCGCTTAGCATTGAAGGAGCAACACAAAGCTACAATTAAGAGTCTGCTGCAAGCACAAGAGGGCAGACTGATACACATTATGGATCTTGCAAACGACAGAGGTCTCAACCTGCTACTCAATTTTCTGCTCATTTTCTTGGTTCTAGTGCTCGCATTTATCCTTGTGAAGCTGATGTGAACCTTTGTGAGGCTCTGCTTCCTTCTCAGACCTTGTTTTGAGGGCTTTGCAATGATAATGCAGACACTTAAAAATGTCTAAATATAAGCATGCAAAGACTGCTGAGGCTGAAATATCTGACAGAGAATGTGTTCCCACACCAAATTTATCAGAAAGCAATCCTAAAAGCTGTGCACAACTATCTACCTACCTTTGAGTGAAAAAAGCATCTAGAGCCTTGCTGAGTACCTGAAGAAATCCAACTATGCATCAGCAGCTATGATAGTTGCTCACTGTTGGAGCTGATTGGTATTTAAAGATCTACAAATTATCTGCAGACTTCAAAGAACATCATTTCTGCAAAAGCAGAAATCAAAATTTTAAAATGGGATTTCTGTAGAACATGTATTTCATGGGAAATGACCCAGATACAGCAGGAAGGCAAAACAAAATGCCAACACTGAGTTGACAGCATACATCAAATTACCTGTGGAGAGAAAAGCACGGATGCTGTAGATGGAAACAAAGTAGCTTGCAACTGAGATGGGGATAAGTGAAGGTTAAATATGAAAACATAATTATTAGTTATACCTTTTTCACCACCTATGGTTCACTGCAACACCCTAAAAGCCAGAAGCCTTAGTGTTATCCAGGAGCATCAAAAGAAGCAGCTGTCAAAACAACTGAAAAACCAATGACCATTAAGCAGGGTTATCACAACTCAGCCTAGGAAACCCTTAACACTGTCACATACACAAGCAGTAGGTCCATCTGCACAAACCCAACAAGTGTGTTACAGCCTCAGTAAGCTGGATTTACCACTTAGGCACAGGTCAAGTGAGCAGTGTGGGAGCTCTCCAGCCATATTTGACAGACCACTTGCTGCTTGCCAGTGAAATCATCCAGTCCATAACTTGTCCTCACTTGTATGTAAATAAATAAACTTACAGGACCTTCTTCTGTGGCCCTTTACAGGATGACGTACTTTCCCCACAGGTCCTTGGGAAGGACAGTGACCAACAAGAGCACACTTCTCTTGGAATTATTTGCTGAGAAGGCAGCTCTACATAACCTGAGACACATTAGCAAAGGAGATGACCAGAAGCAGATTTTCGTACATTACATTGGGGCCAAACAGCTTCCTCTTAGCACCTCACTTTTCCAAGTAAAACACGGGAACAGTGTGCACCAACACATATACATTGTACAGTAAACTTAACGTCATAGATATGCATATTAACAGTCTTTTTTTTGCACACATGCAAAAGAAGCAGATGTTGCTCATTGGGTGGGGGAAGCCCCAGCTTCCAGCTTTCTGCTACCAGCAGCACATCCCTGATTCAGCACAAACACTGCTGAGAGCCAAGTATGCTACAGAGTTCTATTCACATTCACACCCAGAATTTCCATATGATTACTGTTGTTCTGGGTGGCTGAGTTATCTGGAAGAGACCAGTCTGAATGGATCTATGGTAGACTTTACACAGGAAAAGGTAGTATCCCCAGCAAACCAGAAAGTTTATGCAAGTCCTACCATTAATAGTCATCCACGTTCCATTCTATGCTACCTGCTCCAAAGCTTAGGCAGTGTTAGTGCACTGGTTTGGGTTGGAATAAAGTTAATTTTCTTCCTAGTGTAGTAGCTAGCATGGGACTATGGTTTAGAACAAGTCCAAAACATAGTTTGCACCAGCTACTATGAAGAAAATTAACTCTACTCCAGTCAAACCAGCATGATTAGCTACAGTAGCCCGGATAGTTAAAATGAAAGCTTTTCTTTCACCTCCTCTGAAATATGTGCAATAAACATTTAAAATAGCTTCTGCAAACTACACATCCATAGCTTTTTAATGTTAATAGTTATAGTAGTATGAATTCCCATCTGCTTGCATTTAAAGCAGAAAACTTTGCACAGCTACATCACTGTAAGCACTTTATCATTTATTTTGATAATCTTGAAATATTCTGCTTAAAAAAACCCACAAAACTTGTAAATTTATATACAAGGCATATACGTGATAATGGTTATGTAGTTGTGTATTGTTTAGGAGGATTTCTCCTGATGCTTGACATAGATGGCTCAAAGCACACCAAAACCACAGAAACAAATAGGAAGTCCACTCTAGCCCAAGGTAGAATAAAAACAGTTTTCCCAACAAGGTGGTTATTTGCTGATATACTGCCTGGGACTATAGAAAGCTTGTTGTCTGTATGACCTTCCATACCATTCCAAAGTTTCCTTTTCTTAGGGAAACCACTGTGACAGCAGTTGGCCTTCACAGAAAATAAAGTGACATACTCCTTCTTAATAACATGAGAAAGATGAGCCTAGTGCCACCAAATATCACATATTTCCAGATCCAATTACATACAAGGGAAGTCTGCAAGAAACTCTGCCACTAGAGCATGGAGAAACAAGACCAAGAAACAACCCCAGTAGCCTCCTCTCAGTCAGCAATGAACATTACAGAATCCTCAATAAATGCTGAAACACACTGTTGACATTGAAACATGTATTTTACTGAGATGACACATAAAGTTGGCAAAGTCATCAGCTAACCAATGCCAAGTCTCTCTTTTGCAATCAAGCACAGTCCAAGTTTGGTTTCCTATCGTCTGCTAGTGCTTACTCCACATTGAACTCACATATGGACTATAAAGAATGGAATCCCATTTGCTGGGCTACCAACTTCACAGCAAATGGAACAGACCATAAAAACTTAATTACGGCTCACAGAGAAGGAGTTCACTATGATAACTAAAAGTGATAATTCCTCATTAAAAAGTTTTATCTGCCTGAAAAGTATGATTTCATCAAAACACAATGCAGGGAAAATGTTGATATTAATAATTTTTAGTTTTCTGATCTGCCAGGTTTGTAAAAAGAACTAGCTTTGAGTTGACATTTAAGAATAAAGTTTTATGTGGCAACAATGTTATTTGAAGAATGTCATAACCTTTTCATTCAATTAGAACAGCTTTGTTTACCAATGTTTAGGTATGCATGCAGTTTAGTTTTTTCCTTCTCTGTTTTGCAATGAAAGTTGTTATAATATCTCTAAATTTCTCAATGCATTAAAATTTAGTTTCCAGTAACTTTTATATGCACGGTATGATAAATCCAGCATTTTCCTCATTAAAAAAAAACAAAACAAAACAACAATAAACCTGGTACATTAAAGGGAAAAGATGCACTTAAGCAATTTCCATCTATTATCTCTGCTATATTCTGACACGTGTTAGCACACCATCAAGAAATCACAGATGTTCTGTACACTGGAAAAAAGAGATTCATCCAGTGATACTTGCAATGCTGTACAGAGTTAATAAGCAGATATGCAACCTTCTGAAACCTTGGCATTGTATTATCTTCAACAATTTTAAAGGCATGCTTTCACTTCAAATCTAATTTCTGGACTAGCATACAGCATGTATCTAGATGCATTCAGATTATAGTATATATAATAGTATCAGACTGTAAGAAGTGCCTTTAAATGAAAACATAGCACCTTCCAATCTAGATTTGTATGGTCTCCTAGTTCAGTAAATAGGAACCACTGTTGTGTATTACAAGCATTTTTTTCCCTTAGCATAGGTCTTATCACACACTTCCTTACTGAAAGATTGGCTGCCCATTGAAAACAATTAAAATGTATGCTGAAATACAAATTCTGCATGGAAAGTGTTTTCTTTGAAGCACTGTTTCTGTGCTTCAGTGCATAAACTGAAGAACTGTTAAAATCAGTTCCTTGGAAATGTGTAGGAGAATGTTTATCTTCAAAAAGCCTACATTAAATAACTCACATTAGCTAGAAAAACGAATTTTCATATGCAACTACATGATGTTACACAATAACCAAAGACCAGATCCTCTTTGGATATTTATTTCTTAAATGTATACATTTCTTAAATGCATCACACCCACAACTGAATGATGCATCTTCTCTGAAGAGGTTTTTATTGATCCTGCACCTTTTCTGCAATTGCAAACCTGACCAGGTCCTCAAAGAGAATCTCAGTGTACTGCAGGTCTTCTACCCAGCAATCCTGAGCTTCTCTTACAATGCTAGACAAATGCACAGGAAATTTCATTTTAAAATCCATGGTTTACAATTGGAATGGAAAAGCCACATTATAGGCTTTTTAATTTGGGGAGCAAAGTGTAAGAAAAAACAATGAGTTCAGCCTACTTCAGACTACTAAGAAGGAGAGAATCTTAAACTTGAATTTAATTACTCTTGGAATAGCTTCTGAGACCTGTTACATTATACTTTGCATTTACCTTTACAATAAACAAATTCAAAGCTTGTCTGATTTTATAAAAATTAATTCTAATTCAGAATTAATTCAGAATCTAATTCAGTTTTCCATGGTAAACTGTCTATACGAGTCTGCGAGGGCACAAAAATTTATTTGTAGGCTGTGTTATGAAGTCCCCCATCCGTTCCTGGACCATCAGTCCTCAAAATCAACTCAGAAAATTGTTGCTGTCTATTTTTACTTCATCAGTGATAGAAGGGGAATTTATAGAGGGCAGCTACAAGCCTATCTTAAAGATACACAAAGCTGCTCCAGATTGACAGTTGAAAGCAAAGTTTATTCTTTTCTGTTCATGGCAATAGTAGTGTTAAAATGAAAGAATGATAAATCGTAATTTTTTTTCAGTCCTATAAAAACCACTACATTTCCACCAGCTTATATATGTAATAAAACCAAAACAACAAAAGCAATTCCCACTAAGAGGAAAAGAAAAATAAAAAAGTTCCTCTAGAGGTGTGGCTTTTTCCCCTTTTATAAATCATCAGCTTCCTCAAGCAAAATCTTACGCCTCTGACTCTCTCTCTCGGATATATATTCCACATAGGATTGTAGTTTTCTTGGTTTCTCAGATACAATAAAGTATCAGTCCCCAGATGCACACATGGTGATCTCTGAAAAAAGCCCATAGCACAATTATGCTGAGGTTTCTTTAAAAATCAGGTGTCAAGACAGGAAGAACCATTCTCCTTTCTTCATCTTCTGTGGTGTCCCTCCTTCTCACAGCTGTAACCTCTGTCAGAAAGACAGGGCAGGCAGGGAGGGCTGGCAGGGGATGCCTCTAAGAGCCCAGAGGCTCATCGCTCTTGCACATGTTTTCACTTTCTGTTCCTCTGGGTCCTATTTCACAACCACATCTTACTTGAGGAAATACAACAGATCACATTTCAAGGCCCATCAACTTGACTCCAGATCATACCAATGGAAGTACCTGTTAAGGCCATCAGGAACCTCCTCCACAGAGATGTAAAAGTAACAGGTGCAAGAAAAAGAAAAAATGACACTTTTAGGCAAAATTTCACTCTATAATCTTTCAATCTCAAAAACCTGGAAAGGTGCAGCACTGTTTTAGGAATCCAAGCCACAGAGAGAAATAATGCTTGTGTTTCCCCTGCTGGCTCTGTCCTTCAAACACAGGTGGGCAACAATGCCTGCATGGATGAAAGTTTTTGAGTAACTGTAATAACATATACAGAGTTTAATCTGTTTCAAACATTAAACTTTGCCTTGATACTGTGTTTAATCACAATCAGAGAAAGTACCTGTGAGACATGTAAAAAAAGCTGGGAGTTTTGACCTAAATAAAAATAAGTTTCTAAAACACCCATCCTAAACAAAATGTTGTGTAAAGGGTACATAAAATACGATGAAGAGACATACCTAAATGAAGGAAAGAAGTAAATAAAGCTTACTCTGCTCTTGTAAGACCCCACCTGGAATATTGTGCACAGTTCTGGTGTCCCCAACATAAAGAGGACATGGAACTGTTGGATCAAGCCCAGAGGAGGGTCACAATGCTGGTAAGAGGACTGCAACACCTCCACTATGGAGACAGGCTGAGAAAGTTGGGGCTGTTCAGCCCAGAGAAAAGAAGGTTGTGTGGAGACCTCATGGCAACTTTCAGGTATTTGAAGGGGGCCTACAGAGAAGCTGGAAAGGGACTCTTCGTCAGGAACTGCAGTGATAGGACAAGGATTAATGAGTGCAAATTGAAGGAGGAGAAATTTAGTCTGGATATTCAGAAGAAAATCTTTACTGTGAGGGTGGTGAGACACAGGGGATAGTGGGACTAGATGATCTTTAAAGGTCCCTTCCAACCCTTAACATTCTATGATTCTATATATTCAAATCCAAGAGGAGAACCACCAGGCACAGTAATCTGCTCACAAGCCTCACAGACAGCACCTCTGATGGCTGCAGCCAGCTACATGTGTTTCAGGTGTTTGGGAAGACTTGAATGAATGGATAGACCAAGCTCCTTAGTGGTACCCTGCTGTCGCTTCTGCTTCCCAAACCCCTCATGTGTTCCTCGATGCCACCAGCAGCTGTCAACTGCCAAGAGCCCAGCTGGCAGTGCCCTGGATCCAGCATCAGCAGTGACCCAGTTTCTGTCACTTTGGCTCTGACAGGACTCCATCAGCCTCTGCTCCCTACCTGGGGAATTTCTCAACATCAAAATCTTCAAAAACCTTAAGAGAAAGATGAGGGTTTCTGTAGCAATAAAGGTAAAGGTTGGCCAGCTGTAGCAATGTCTGGTTTTTAGGGAGACCCTTAAAGATTACTGTTCATTTGGCCATATTAATTTGGCTTCATTTTTTTTTTTATTTAAAAAACTCCAAAAAACACCCAATACAACAAAACCCCACCATCCCACCAAAAAAACCCAACCATCAAGATCACCATTAAGAGCAAAATTGGATCCCAAGAACCTCTAAACCTGTCAGTCTTTCCTTCAATATACAACAGAAGAAACAACAAAATTTGAGCACAATTCGTAAATTATTTCATGTACTTCAGGCTGGAGGAAAACAGGTAATTTGCACATACAGCTGGATTATCTCTCCTCAGATAATATCCCAGTCTAACCCTAGAATGCCTTTCAGAGAAATTTACATATTGTAAATTGCTTGGGATTTTTTTGGCAAGCCAAGCCAAGTTTACCTACACAGGTAAACAGGAACACATAGATTTTAAATACTGCCCTCTTTCACAAACCGTATTTTTCCACTAGGGGAAAAGCTGGAAACAAAAATTGAATTGCCATGCTGCAAAGGGTTACCTGTCTCTTAAAACTATGTGCTTGATGTTCTCTATATGAAAATATTTTAAGTATGACAGATAAAACCCACATGTTATTTTATTAAATAAACCAGATTCATTGACTACTGTTGATTTTAATTAGTTAAAAGATAAGCAGTAATATCAAATTGAATCCAGTTTTTAAGTGCTGGGTGTAGTCATACGAAATATCCATTCATCCTTGCAGTACACAGACATAATTCTTATTTTGTTGAATGCACAAATGCAGCCTCTTTTTAAGCCCATTCAGATCGAAATACATTCACATTTCCCCCACTACACTGTGATCAAAGACTCTCTCTCAAACTACTGAAAAGGTTATCTGCTGAAACTCTTGCTGTGTGCAGCTTCATGTGAAGAAATGCTGGCCCCATGCAGACAGGCTCAATGAATCAGAGTAAACTGTAAGCAGACAGCAGGAAAAAAACCAAACAAAACAATAAAGAACTGTTGGCACTCAGGTAATATTGAGAAACAAGCAGCAACATCCCCAGTCAAAGTTTAAAACCATCATTACCTGATTAAGGGGACCTGTTCCCCATCCTGTTTCATTACAAACTGCCAGGTATAACACACGATGCCGCATGATGGCAGCAAACACCAAACTTTAGCCTTACCTGCACAGGCTGTTCACCTCCTATTCTAAAATCTTCAGGCTGCTGCACATGCCATGCAGCTACACCGTAGGGCTCCTCGGCAGGCCTGCAGTCCAGGGGATTTGCACGGAGCTGCTCCTTAAGCCACATTTGAGTCCTCACTGCCGGCTGTATGGGAGCTCCACTCACAGCCTGTTGTCCCAGTGTTGCGTATCTCTGTCCGAAAGCCTCACAACTGGCTGCCGTAGGTTTGCTTTCAGGTAAGGCACTGTAGGTCAAGTCTAAGGCATGTCTCCTACTTGGGGAATCTGAAACAAAATCATCTTTGCTGCACGTTTCAAATTTATATTTGCAGTCCAGTAGAGAAGATCGTTTTTTCCCCATTTCTTTGTCCTCAATTTTTAGCAACTCCATGCTGTCATGCAAACAACTTGGCCCATTTGTCCTTAATTGTGGTGACATGGCTTTGTCTGTACCAGCCCTGTATTCCATCAAATGACTACTACCATCTTGGCTGAAGGTATTTGGTGAGCTGAGTTTAGACAAGGAGGACCATTTTCTCACAGGTCTTGCATCTTTCATGTCAAGGGAGTTGTCCAGTGAACCCTGATTTCTGCCTCCTCCTGACCGTACAAAGCTTGTGCTCCATTTTGAGCCATCAGACTTGAAAGCTTCCCTGTGTTTGGAAAGTGAAGAGCTGGCATTAGACAGCATCACATGGGCAGTGGGAATGGAAACCAGTGATCGACTGGGCTTAAATGAGGATGTACCACTTGAAGTTGAATGATCTGTGAAGAGAGATTTATCATGTAAATAAGTACAATACAGAACTCATTAACAACAAGATAAATCATCAAATTCAAGGTGAAATGCAAAAATAGAAGAGGTTTCTTGACAAAACCATTCAAGATTATGAGAACGTAAACCAATTAAATTGGGAGATTTTCAAATGTGTTGTGCTCAGTTGCCATCATTACAAAAAGAAAAGTGTACCAAGCAGTGGATGAAGGACCACCACCTCCCTAAGATCTTGCTTTATGGTGAACTTGCCACCGGCTGCCGAAAGAGAGGAGCCCTGAAGAGGAGATACAAGGACTCCCTGAAACAACATCTCAGCCTTGGCCATATTGATCAACAGAACTGGTCTACTCTGGCCTCCAATTGGGAGATCTGGAGACACACCATCTATAATGCTGCTGATGCCTTTGAGAAAGCACGCAGGATCACTCTCGAGGAGAAAAGACAACGCAGAAAGAATCGTGCCTTGCAGAATATACCACCTAAGGAGTCTTTCTGCTGTGCCTTTTGCAGCCAGATGTGCCTATCTCGTATTGGCCTTTTTAGCCACCAGCACGCTTGTGACAAACGGGGGTAGAGCCCTCCCCAAATCTTCGTTCGCGAAGCCTAGCCATGATGATGACTAAGCAGTGGAAACAGCAGTTCCAGAGAGAATTCTCAGGCTGTGAGCTAAAGGAGGCATTGTTCCTTCCCCAGCTTTAAGGAGGCAGGCTGGATTTCTCCCTCAGACCAGATAATACAAAGTAGCTTCTACAGCACAAATGGCAGAGGTATCACAATTCCAGAGCCCAAGACTGGTTCCTCTTCCATTGCCCCTCTTCCCATTTTTTTAAGGCAAAACAATTAACAAAATGCAGTTTGTAAAATGGCAGTGCTGGAGAGGAATCAGTTTAACAATGGTCACTTGGACAGAGCTATTCATCCCTTTTAGATCTCACTGACTTCAAAGTATGCTTTTTGTGCCAGGTTTGGCTGGAGTGGAGTTAATTTCCTTCATAGTAGATGGTATGGGGCTGCATTTTGGATTTGTGTTGTAAACACTGTTGGTAACTTAGGGATGTTTTAGTTCCTGCTGAGCAGTGCTTACACAGAGTGAAGGTCTTTTCTGCTTCTCATCCCACCCCACCAGTGAGGAGGCTGAGGGTGCACAAGGAGCTGGGAGGGGACACAGCTGGGACAGCTGATCCCAACTGACCAAAGGGATATTCCATATCATATAGCATCATGCTCAGCAATAAAACTAGAGGGAAAGTTGGTTTGGGGGGCTGCTGGTCAGGCAACACTTGTTTGGTGGTGACCGTTTTCATTTGCAGCTTTCCTGGTTCTTATTTCTCTCTCTTTGTAATCTTCCTTACAATTTTTTATTCCTTTCAATTATTAAACTGTTTTTATCTCAACACATGAGTTTTTTCACTTTCATACTTCCAATTCTCTCCCCTATCTCAACAGGTGTGGGGGGAGGAGGAGTGAGTGTGTGTGTGTATTTACACACCCAAAAACACTACCACACTGAAATTGCGCGTATCTTAATTTTTAAAATCTTTCCCAAGTCAAAATATCAAGAATGAAGAAATCAGTGACGTGTTATTCAGGAGGTAAAGGAGAGGTTACTGGGGACTGGCTGAGAGCTCTCACATACCCAGCAACATGTTTAGCATCAGTCTGTGGACAACAGAAATAAACACCTAATCCTCTCATTAGAGGATCAGCTCTCACCAAGTTCCATGGTTGCACCTTAGCAAGTTCATATTGCTCGTTAGGTTAATGGCAGATAGACAGAATGAAGTTGCTCTAATTAAAAGATTCTTTTGGTGTCCTTTTTGCCAAAAGCAAGATGGATACACTTTACTTGTTTCTCTCATCCTAACCTAGATAGAACCTACTTCTTTGAGATTTGTCAGCTGGTCCAAGAATTCATAGTGGGACAACTCAGAAGTAAAAATAATTGTTCAGCAAGTACAACTGGCATAGCCAGTTCAATGGTTACACTAGGTTAATGTGATTTGGTAAAAGCCAGAACAGATTATTAACTGAGCACACTTTCAAAGCGTATATTTGACTCAAAATACCACCCCACAAATAGGAAAAAGAAGAGAGTTTCCAATGGTGCAACAGCTTTTTAAAAATGGTAGCATTTCTTTTTCGATGTATTCAAATAAAGATATCCTTACCCCCAACGTGAATACTCCTCCCTATATAGGACCAGATTTACCCACTCCTTGCAGCACAACACAAAATAATACAGTCCTATAGTCACACTCTTCATGACAAAAATGCATTATAGTCCACAAAACAGTAAACGGTTCCTTGATTGTTACCTGTTTATTACACAGGTAACTTGTTTATTACAAGGCTCCTAAGAAGGCAGAAAATCTTGTTGAAGCCTTCCTGTTTCTTAATGAGTCACTGCCCCACCATGTATCCTCCCATTTCAAAGCATAAGCTCACACCACACTGTTTCTTCCCTCTACCCAGCCACCTAATTCCACAGTAGTTACAAAACATTGCTCTCTTTAAGACTTGACAAAACTGTCAGAGCTGGATCAAGTGGACCAACAGCCTAAGAGCTGATGATGGCCAGAGAATACACACACGGACCGTCCTGTACAGGGCCAGGAGCTGGATCCCAAGGGATCCTTTAGAGTCCCTTCCAACTCAGGAAATTCTATGATAAAGTTAAATGGAGAGTAGAATACTATGAGCTTGTTACCTGATTAATCATGCTATTAATTTATGTGGGGTAATATTTTTGACATGCAAAATGAAAGACCTTCCCTCCTCCCTGCACTTCTTCCTTAAAAATTCTATACTGCAGAGAGAAACATTTTTCTTGTCCGTTCTCTCTGTCTTGATATCGGTCAAGAGGTGGGACATGTTAAAGAGGAAGACAGAAAGCACACAAGCCATTTCAAGTAGAAGGAACTGCAGTCTTTTAACCAAAGCACATCAGTGCCCACAGATATTGCAACAGTGGAGACTGTGATAGTGCAACACTATTAGTTTCCGAAATTGTGATATGCTCACAACACGTAACCAATTGGCCTGTGCAAAGTACGGTACCAGCTTCTCTCAGCTCTGCCCGCTTGTCTTCCCTCATAGCTCATTACACAATTGCATAAAAAGACACCACAAAGTGGGTACATCTTGTTACACTGTCAAGCAGGGGCTGCAGCTTTCAGTCGTGCTCTGCAATGAAACAGACATCTGAGGATGTCAAAGCAGTGACAAGAAGGCAAAAGAGGTCCATGACCGGATGGAGTTGGAGTCTCAAACCTATGTACTATGAGACGAAAAGTGCAGGGCTAGAGTCCTGCTTTTGGGAAACAGAATAGGAAGAGACTCCTGATCTCCTCCTACTCTCCCAGGCAAAGTAGGGATGGAAATGGCACAGTAGAAAGGAATGCATCTCTTCTTGTACATACTCCTTAGTTAAAGGTTGCTGCCTTTGTAACACTCAAAGAAAACTAACCTTTGTCTTGTGCCTTACCCAGAAGCTGAGTCTGACACAGCACAAAGTCAGTCCAGCAAAGGCAGCAGTCCCAGGCTTTCTTATATCCAAAGAAAATTGAAGTATATTAGGATTCAAAAAGAACAAAGTGTTAGGCTATGCAGATTTCTAGGAGTAGAAATATCATATCTGCAAGAGAAAAGTAAGAAATCCTGTATACATGTATCTGTAAAAGTTAAAATAATAAAAAAATACATAGTAGTATTTAATACATTATTTTCAATCAAAAATACTGACTTAATGTTACCTATACACAGTCTTCAAACGCAAATTAAACCCAATAATAATCAGAAGTATATGATCTCCTTCATTTATTAGATTACAGAGTTATTAATATGTCCTAGATTTTTATTTTTCCTTCTTCTACTCTATATTAAATTAAAAATTAATTAATTTTGAGTCAGTTTTAAACTTCTGTTCCTCACTTCCAGTTCTAAACTCTTCAGCAGATTTAAACTTGGAATGCCACTTATATCCAGCTACAGCTGATGGATGTCTCCAATAATTTCTCTCAAAGTGAAACACAGTAATTTTGGCTTCAAGTGTCCTAATTAGTCTTCCCATTAACCCTCACTGAAATATAGGAGAAAATTCACACTTCTTCTTAGAGCATATTGCTTCCGTCTGCCTTGCCTGCCGGCTCGGCTGGAAAGAGAGCCAGTCTGCATTCTGGAACATCTCCCAGCACAAAAAGCATGAAATGCATAAATTTCATTGAAAACAGGAGAGAATACAGAAAGCATCATGAAACTTAAAAGACATTACTTCTTCTATAGTCACAGGAATAAGCACCATCTGGCCAAATCCTGCCAAAGACTACTTCATCCAAGCAGGAGGTTTTTCCCTTCCATACAGGCAGGGGTAAGCAAATGCCTAGTTTCGAATTGAAAGCTCTCTCTCTTCAGGATTACTTGATTTTTACTTCATTGAGCTGGTATTTATTTGAAGATTACAGACACTCTCAAACATGGCTTGGATGTCTCCAGAGTCTTTCAGTGCTTAAGACTGCTCTCATTAATGAAAACTGAAAGAGACAAGAAGGGAAAAAGGAGCTATATGCTACTGATTTTTCTTTCAGCAGAATTAAGATTATAGAAGAATTTTGCTTTTCCATTATCCTACTAACTTTTAGGGGGGTCCACCACAAAATTTCCTAGAGCACTTTTCTAATAGGTAGGACATTTTAATACCTGATCCAATACTTCCAAAACCACAAAAATAAGAAAATTGAAGAAGTGTTATTTCAAAACCACAAGATATATACCACATAGTAGCAGCAGATGGAATAAAAAAATGAAGAACATTTCACATGGCTTTCTTACCATCTTGTGTTACACTCCTGAACTATTTCATTACTGCATATCTGGCATAGAAAATAATCTGACAGAATCAATTTTGGTCCTAATAAAAAAACTAATCACAGAGAGAAAGCACAGCAGACACTTTCTTCTGAAGGAGGGAATGAAGAAAGAAATCTTCCAA